TTCGCTCTTCAGGGTTCGTCAATCGGATGCCAGCGAGTTCCGGTGACAAGCGATAAGGCGTTTTTAGCATATTACTTTTAAAGCCTGTCAAACGGCAGTGTTGAAATCCTCTTTCGTTGCAAATAATGTGGAATTGTAGAACCCCACTCTAATGTTTTTACTCCACTTATAGTCTCCATATATTCAAGCTCAGAATCAAAATGTTGTTGTATATTAATGTTCCTCTATCTGAAATTGACGGGAGTCTTGAAGATTATAGGGTTCACCCTTCTGTTCTACGTCATGCAATCAAAATTTGTTGAATCTTCAGTTTTGATTTCTGCAATCGGTAATAGAACAATAAATCAATGTTATCCTGCCGATTAACTGCTTTGCGTAAACCCCAATGGAACTCAAAGTTGGCAAAATGACATCGCGAAAATCAATCAAGTAAATGTTTTACGTTTACGTTGCTTGGTTCAATGATTGNTGTAAATAAAATCGGTCGAGTGCAATCTTTAACCAAGATTATTATTACCTCACGAGAAAGTAATTTTAGGAAAATAGGGTACGGCAACTCCAAACGTACAAACTGGAAATAAGTAAATAAATAAACCGTCAAAATTGATTCCGTGCAAAAGAAATGCTTCTTATTCAACGGCACATTTCAACCCAACAGTGTAGTCCTAAACCTTCTAAGATGTGGTGTGCAGAACGTCAGATCATTCGGGTGGGAAACAGGTGGTAAAGTGAACATACAAATGAAACTGCAATAGATTTGCCTCCCACCCATGCGTGCGAGGAAATCTGTTCTGTTATCATGTATTACAGCAGCAATTACAAATGCTTACCATATGCAGCTAACAGTTTGCATTCGGTACATTCTGGTGCGATTGCTTGCCAAATTCGGTAACAAGCTCGATGTACCACATGTCGGCAAGGTAGCGTATCCGGTTCAGGGGTATCCGGTGAAGCAAATGATGTAAACGGACGATGCCGACGTCGTAAGCATAAAGCACAGAAGACGATCGCATTCGGACCCGACCCAAATGACATGCAAGATGACGGTTTTGTCTTAGTCCAAACATCGTCATACCGATAATGGTCGTAAAGATGAACTAACAGAAACAAGAACAATTCAACAACCCATTGGAACCTGGCAGGACCGGATTGAGGAGACCAAAAATAAGGTAAAAGACAGGCGGGAATCAAATGTAAACAAAGAGCCGTGCAGTCTAGCTGACTTGTAAATTCTGAAACTGTATCAGACAGAGTGCAGGAAGTCATGAGCCATGTTGTCCACTGGACCAATCGGCTAGTATACAAACAGATCAGAAACGAGTGAGCGACCAGCAGGTGATGGATCAACTCCATCCAGCGAAGGACACAGGCCAGGTAGAACCAGGCGGAGAAGCAGGTGAGAGTTAGGACCAAATTTAATCTGGAGTATTTATGCGTACTCTTGCTCTCAGTGATCGACTTAGTTTGATTGCTGTGCCCGAGTCGGTTTGTGTTTAGTTCAGGAACGGGAAGACTGAGGAGAGGTGAACGTAGCAGAGTAGCTAGACGAGAAATGCGTTGGAAAAGAAAAACCCAAAAGTACACGCGCCATAAAGATGGACGGGAATACACTGGCGTGTCGGTAACAAAAACTGTACCAGTTACTGTGTACAAGGTCAAATAACCGACCAATGTGAGCTCGGTCAAGCTCAGTGTGAACGGAGCTGAGTAGCCCATTCGAGCGGACCACATGAACCGTGGAAGGGTAGACAATGGATGTCGATGTACCAGATGCAACAAGGCCCCATAATCGATGATAAACGCGATAAAATTTAAAACACTAAGAAGGATGCAGTAGGCAAAGAACGATAACATGCTGCCCAGGGATAGAGAGACCAGCATAAGATGCTCCATCTTTTAGATCTAAAAAAATACAGTGCACAAAGGCCGATGAGAAATAATGGGAATAAAAACGGGTAGGTCACGGTCTCAAATTTGCAACAAACGTTGACTTCATTCTTGTAAATGAATCCAACATGGCGACGAAAATCAATTGGTTTGCAAAGCGGAATCGGTGGAGATCAGCAGCAGAGCAGAGTTATCCAAAATTCTGGAAAAAGAGACATTTTTCGTACAAGGAAATCAAAGGTTGCATGGTTAAAAAACAACTATGTACTATACTATAACGTGTATATGCAAAATGAGAACCGTCTGGTCAGCTTCCCGGTGGTCGAGTGGATAGTATGCTTGCGTTCTGCCTGTGCGGTCTCCGGTTCCATCCCCAGTTCGGTCGATGGATTTGAACTGCAGATAAAGCCCAACCAGGTCGAAACAGCTGTCCAGTTCATTTTAGCCGGGCAGCTCACACTACATTTACACGACGAATTTATTACATTTTTTTCAACGAAGGCTTCCTATATCGTTAACTTCAAGATAGTATTCGAAAGCATGCATCCCTGTTTATGCCCAGGGTATGGAGAAGACGCGAAGTGCACTATGAAAAAATGGTACAATGATCATCATCCATTTTACTGATGAAATAAGAAATTCGAGATCGATCGGTGGCCTGGAGGTCCTTAGTTCAAACCCGGCGCTGCTCATCTACCGCATTTCTGTGTTTTCCGCAGCAGCCTTTGATTGTACGTAGTCCTTTTCTGAAAGCTGATGCCAAATTTGTGTATTAAATAACTAGCGAGGAAAAAAAGTATTATAAACACTATCACTATTATTATTTCAGAACGTTGGGAATTCTTCGTTTTTGTTTGCCTTTTGTGGACGGAGGTGTGAATAAATTATTACTTTACACATTTTATCAAGTAAAGCTTATCTAATCGAAAATCCTCCACATGGAGACCAGTGCACTTGGTTCAGTTACTGCTTCTGATCCTCAAATGCGATTAGATTTTCAGCTTTGCAAAAGACCGCTGAATTGAAAATGCACGAAACTATCACTAAAACAATGTGGACTTTTCCTGCTGCTCATGCGGATGCGTTGCTCCATTTCATAGACAATCGACGTACATTGATTGATAACCAATTTTTTTACGTAACTTCCATCCATAGGCTGACATCCTTCTTTTCGTAAACCAACAGGACAGAGAATAAACCATCAGGTTGAAAAACATTTGCCCGCAAAAATAGATGGAGGAACTCACTCGGTCTGGATATTTCAAGTCTTTAAAGGCGGCATCCATTTCAATAGGAAAAGTAACGCCACCAAAAGGGGATGACTAAACCGATCACAAAATAATCAAACAGTGAAAATCAATGAAAATACACTGGATAAAATACATTCGAGGGAAATTTTATTATAAGTCTATTTAAAACAGAATTCGTCGGAAAATAGATTTCATTGTTTTTACGCGATGTAAGTACGTTTACACAACCTTAATTTATTCGGTGGCCCCACGTTCAAACCACCGTATTTGTATCACGCAACGGTAAAATGGCGCCACAGTGAAGGCATGAGATTATCCATGAAACAGCTGATTAATTTATGCATGCATTACCCACACAATCTGATGACACATTAATTGCCGATAACGTGACGAAAACGAGTCATAATGATACAAGCGCACTGGAGCATAGAATTCCCAATTTCCAGCGAGATAAAATGATGACGAAATTCGCAACTGGATGAAATAGTCGAACAAGGTGATGATAAAAACGCAGCTTGAATAGAGATTTATCACTGGGTTATTTGTACTGCACACTAACGCTTTAATGTGAAGCTAGAGAAAAGTTCGACTAGGCGTGTGGCTCATTGTATACTAAAATTTGATTAGTGTTATGATAATAGTCTAGACAACGAGTGTTGAGAAATAGAGCATGTGATGTGGCAAACACATTGGCTTATGTAATGCTTTCAATGGCTCAATATGGTTGAGTTTACGTATACACTTATCTTTCACGTTCGAAAGCAGGTTTGGTTCAATTGGAGCCTCATTCCTCTTTCACATAGAAGAGGCCGAGAACGCACACAATGATGAGTTTCGTGAATCTTACGTCTATCCAGTCTACGGTTTCTACACTGTACACATACTCAAGTCCCCCAGACCTCCCCCATTTCACCTTCACCTCCCTAACACACCAACTCCCTCGGATTCTTCAGACGGTCGTACTAACAGTTGCGCTTCCGATGGAAACTTCCACTGTTCTCTCGTGTCCTACCTCGACTAGTATCCAATCATCCACCAGCTGAAGCCCTTCTTTGTCCTCGATGTCTATTCAAAGTGATCACCCGCTGCCTTGCGGGTCAGACTCTTGAGTCAAAGGCTCCGGTTAGGGTTCCCAAAGAAA